TCTGTTGATTGGAGGATTCGTGGGAGAATCCTGTCAATTGGAGGATTCGTGAGAGAATCCTGTTACTTGATAGGATCCATGACAGGTATCCTGTTAATTGGAGGATTCATGAGAGAACCCTGTAAGTTGATAGGAACCGTGAGAGGTTTCCTGTAGATTGAAGGATTCGTGAGAGAACCCTGTAAGTTTATAGGAACCGTGAGAGGTTTCCTGTAAATTGGAGGATTCATGAGAGAACCCTGTAAGTTGATAGGAATTGTGAGAGGTTTCCTGTAAACCCTGTAAGTTGATAGGAACCATGAGAAGTGTCCTGTATATTGGAGGATTCGTGAGAGAACCCTGTAATGTTCTTCATTGCGCTTTAACTTGGAGGACTTTTCTTCTGTTTGGTGAAACCTGTAATTTCCATAGATCTCACAGAATAATAACAACATATCATGGAGATGATAGTTGTAACAAGATCATTTTAAAATAATAATGTTGCTGATAGGAAATGTAACATTTGTTTTTGAGTTTGTCTGCATTTCACGCGAGATTTTTGTCTTCGCCTTTTAGCAGTCATGGAGCCCTGCAATCTCTTATGGATTTCACAATAGAAGTAGTTAAGATACCTCAAGATAAGCGCATATAAATCAGATAAACTGTTCTAAGTCTATCTGCATTTTCAGTGAGATTGAGATCTTCACTGTTTATTGTCCATGGGTCCCTGCAACTTGTATGAGTTTCATAACAAAGACATAAGATTATCAAAATAAGTCAGATATGTCACGATTTGTACTGCGTGAGCATCCTGTGAGTTTATGTAGTCTCACAAGAGATATGATCAAAAAGTGATATGAGTATATATCTGATCAAAAAGTGATGTGAGCATATATATAATACCTTCTTAAAGGGGCACATGAAGATTCAATATATGATAGCCTGCTAGGCCTTTATTTTATGTTTGTCATAGTTCAACCCTTGTAGCAGGACTAGGATGATTCATAAAAATTATTCATAAGCCTAGGATGTGCTCAGACTAGACTTTGTTAATTTGACTTTTACTCAAAGCATCCTGCAACTAGGTGGTCATGTTGCCTTATATAACTGTAAACCTGTAATGTAACTTTCTGTGCCATACTGTGATCATAAGCCTAAAAATATTCATCCTTCAAGTTCTTTTATTGCGACATATGGGACCTTCCAGCTCTATAAAACATTGTTTTAATAAACCTTTGGCAGTTCTGTCATCGTAATAATGATATCCAGCCTCACTAAATTTTGGCTACTTGATCAAGTAGATAGTTTGGTTACTGGATCCTTGAGTAAAGTCCCCAACAACTTTAAAGTTTAACCATGTAAAGCAAGTTCAGCTCATGATCATATCCTATAATGAATCAAGTATACTTGCGTGATCCAAATAAAATGGTAGTATACCAAAAGTAATGGCGCGATAACCAAAAAAGTTGACGTACGGATCCTTTAAAGTTGACGTGGGTAAACTTTGGCATACGGTTCAAGGGCTGTGCAAACTCTAGCTTTAGTTTTGAATATTCTAATAAGGATGATGTCCAAAACATGGTCTGTCCTTGCACAATGATGTCCTAAAACTTTAAAATATTCTTCAAAAGGACAATATCCAATATCATGGCTTATCCTTTGGTGCGCGATACTTATCCCTTCGTGCTTCAAAGTAATAGAACAATTTTTATCGCGCGATAGATATGAATGTGGCGCAACACGTATAAATATGATATGTATAAATATGGGCTTTTCAATAAGCATTCAGGTTTGTGGTTTCAGAGAACATAAAAGTGGACAATAGGTAATGGTCACACGTTTTCCACATGTGAAAAGTTGATATCCCTCTCTTAGACTCGCGATATGTATGAGAAGTTTTTAATCATGGTGCCTATGAAAATAACTCAAAAACCCAATGGTCAGACTACAAGCATCCCTTGAACTTCAAATCTGGACATCAATAAGTGTTGCATCGCGCTCTCATTGTACGGGCATCGCGCACTGTTTTGACTTCATTTGAAGAATGCTATTGGCTCTGCGCAATAAATGTCTTTGCACAATATATTTGACCAAACTATTGGCAGAATGCTATTTTACTTTGATAATATATGTTGTGTAACCAATATATTATATCTATTGGCTTTACACAAAGACAAAGCCATTGGCTATGCGCAATAAATGTCGCCAAATATTGTACGTAAGTTTTGATATTATATTATTTTACATTTTATTTGGTCTTACTTTATCTCAAATGATAAGCCTTTTGACCAAGCATGATGACGTCACTTTTAGTAAGAAAGTGTGGTTTATGCATGACTTGGCTAATTTGTGGCTGACAAGTATATACAATTGATACGTGGCAAAAATGGATGCCCCACAATGCTTATATGGTGAACTGTGTGACACAATTTTCGGGATACAGATGGTATGAGATGGTTTATGTGAGATTCACAACATCAGTATCGCGCACTATTGGGAGATATCCCATTAGAAGTGGGATCATTGCGCGGTAATCAGGATAATCCAATTGGCGCGATGAAACATTTCATCCTTGCGCGCAGTAGACAATCATGGCTTGTGCAATGATAATATATTTGCAGTAATAATTACCTCCAGTCACGAAATATAAAAAACACAAGCAGAGTGTGTGTACCTTTTTTGGGTAGGAGTTGAAGCTGTGCGAAAATAATAGCGAGATAGTAAAATAAGAGTATTGGGACTTCCCTGGTATCCTTCAGCGTTGGTTTTGCACATAGCGTTGGTTTTGCACATGGTGGTGGGAGTAGAAATTTGTCGTTCCCACAGACGACGCTAATGATCAGACCAGATAATTACAAATGGGCCGATCATGTGATCTTCCTCTACACAGCCTGTGATCGTCTTGGGTCAGAGCATCTTGCAGTTGGGCCGCTTTATCCCATGGATCTTCTGTGGAACGCGATGGGAGGTGTACCTGCAAGACACTCCGACGCTCGAGTTAGTCATGGTTCAAGCAGGTTTAAGTATGTAGAAGAAGATGATGTACCTTAGTGTTGATCCATGTATTTATAGTGGAGAGATGAGCAGCTTGGGAAGATGTTACTTAGTGATCAGGTTTGCTTTGCCTTAGAGGCTAAGTAATTGAGCTGCCATGATTAAATGTCGAGGAGCTTGCTGTCTTAGTGTCTTTAAGGTTGAGGAGCTTGCTGGCTGTCATGGAGCTTGTTTGTCATGTAGCCATAAATATTAAGGTGCTTGCTGAGATAGACTTGGTGGAAGAGATAAGATAGCAGCATGTATTTATTATGGTAGAGCTTGCAGCCTTCTTGGACTAAGGCTTTTCTTCATTGTGAAGACTTTTATGTTGGGCCTTGTATTTGCATAGTATTTATCCAGATCACATCCTCTAAACAAAAGCAATTTATAATATTAGATAAGTTACGCTCTGTTGGCAGAATATATTTCAATTAGGTATAATATTCAAAGTAGATTAATAAATTCCTCTGCTTTCTTCTTTCTTTTTAATATTTTAGACACACTGCACTAATCTTTCATATAATTAAACTAAAAAAATCTTCCAACATAAATTGAACCGTAGTGGACTGTGCTATCCCTAACGAGACACGATGATTTTTAAAACAAAATTCCAACATAAGTCCCACCTAAAAGAGTAATTCTGAGGAGTGCGTTGGCATTATTACTAAAACATTATTTAATATTAGATATGTATAAAGTTGCGAATTGATAAAAAAAAATATTGATTTCTTTATATAACTAATTAATTCTATGATTATTATAATTATTATTTTTAACTGGTTAATTAAAAATCCAACTCTATACCTCTGGAAGCAAATGGCTGTCAAGATAAAATTTATGTAAATCCTTTATAGAGACTGTTTGGTATGAGAATTTTTGTAGAAATTCTGAAAAAGTGAGATGGAGTAAATTTGTTTTCAATGTTTGATATAAGAAAACTGAAAATATTTTCAATTTTTTTTCTATCATTCTATTTTGCACATCATATTCTTAAACGAAAATATTATCTGATATATGATATTTTTATTTTTATATAACATTAATAAAATTGACTCAACATTCATAATTTTTTTTGGATCTATTAAATATCTTTTCATAATTTAGTCAGGAAAAATTTCACACCATCTTCCCTGACATTTTTTTTTATCAGAAAAAAATATCTCCTCTATTACCCCTTGGGAACAAGATGATATTTTATTGTTAAATAATGGGATATCATCAATTCCATTTAAAGTAGTTGTCAATTCTCAACGACAATAGGCCCCACTGTTGTAACCCAATTTTTTTTTATTATTGTATGAAATTTTATTTAAATTTCACTAAATAATTTTTTTTTATACACATTTCACTGAATAATTTAGATCATCCATTTCCATCGTTAGAAGAATAAGACTCGATTTGAATCTTCTATATTTTTCTATCTTACGTCATTATTAGTGAATGATTATGATTAAATAATGTGATCACATGATCATTTCTCTACATAGAAGGATCCAAATCCAGTAAAACTACAGTTTTATTTAATAATAAAGGGGTTTGAATTTGTCATTTAACATGATACAACAAACTTTCCTACATACATAATATTTTGTGGGATACACACTTTTTGAAGAAAAAAAATAATTATGGCACGCAAAACGAATCTCTATAACATTACACCATCACTTTTCCTACAACATAACTCTTATAAAATTCAATAATAAAATAAGTGTTTAAAAAACAAAAGTAAGTGTTTAAAAATATTAAAAAATGTGTTAAGAAAAAGGCGTATATCAACGACCGTCCATCCCACTACGTGTTCCACAAAAGCAACGGTTAGGATCAACTTAAATCTACAAAGAACAACGTCGGCAATAGAATCCGCAGCCGCAGCGGCTCACGTTAGTCAACTGTCGCTTACTCTGCGCCATCTATGTATCTTCCTTCCCCTTGCGCTGGCATTGCAGCATACGCGTCACGCGCTTAAATCAACGCGTAACACTCATCGCTTCCTCCTCAGTCCTCATTCTCCAAAGTTCAAACATGTCAAACGTTAAATAAAAATTCAACGTTGATCACAAGTGGGTCGAGACTTGGAAAACTTCAAAAAAAGAAAAGAAAAGAAAGAGTCAAAATTAGCTTTCCCCATTTTTCTTTGTGTAGAATTATCCACACCCAAATCTTCAAAATCCCATCTTTTGTTTACTCAGCGGATCTACACTTTGTGTAGTGTTTTTTGCCATGGAATCGAAGAACCCTGCAAGGTTTAAGCTTGGGAAGCAGTCATCGCTGGCCCCAGAACGCCATGGTGAAGAGCAAGAGCTCCAAAACGATGGAGATGTTGTGGATCCAGGAGTGAGGCTTATGTATTCGGCCAACGAAGGCGATGTAGATGGTATCCGCGAGGTGTTGGAGTTGGGTGTGAGTGTGAATTTCAGGGATATTGATGACCGCACGGCTCTTCATATTGCAGCGTGTCAGGGCTTAACTGATGTTGTTGCTTTGTTGCTCGAGAAAGGTGCTGAGGTTGATCCTAAAGATCGATGGGGGAGCACGGTAAGTACACTTTTCTGTACCTGATTTGGTTTAATAGCCTAATTGATTGGGGTTTTGATACTTTGACACAGTTTATTGTTATCGTTACCAATTTTGATTTGATATTGCTTGACTAGTCAAATGCTTTATCTTGTAGTATGGATTCATTCTGTATATTGTATTGCCTGAATAAATGATTGCATGTAGATTGAACCAGAGGCAATTGTATGCACATCTCTTACTGTTAAGGCCTGAGTTTCAGAGTTTTTCTGTATGGGCTGCATTTGAAAGGAAATTAGTACTATTAGATATTTAATTACTGGGCTGATTATTAATCTTATGTCTCTTAAACAGCCACTTGCAGATGCTATATATTATAAAAACAATGATGTGATCAAACTATTGGAGAAGCATGGAGCAAAGCCTCTGGTATGTATGGAGGATTGTAAAATTACGAAGTTGTTGCACTTATTTGTCTTGGCATATCGGTTTCAACTTTTGTATTCTGCTTGTGGTTGCCAATGTGTGTGATTATACTGTTTCAGATGGCCCCTATGCATGTTAATCATGCACGTGAAGTTCCAGAATATGAAATCAATCCTAAAGAACTTGATTTTACCAACAGTGAGGAGATATCAAAGGTAACCACGTTTTTATGATTTATTATTTTTCATTCTGACAGTCAATTTGGTCTGTCTTCGGATTATTTTATATCAGAATCCTCGAGGAACTAATAAGATTTTCTATAATCACATCTCTTATACCCTGATTAGTTTGGGATAAAGGTGATGTTAATGTTGATATCTCTTTTATTTTCAACCGTTTAGATTTGTAGTACAAACTTCTGAATTTGTGTGATTTCCTTTTTTTCTCCCTTTCAATTATCATACTAAGTTCTACTTAATGATTTTTGTAAATTTTATTAATAAGCTGAGCTATACAATAATGAAGTTTTGTGATAAATTTGTTTATGGCCATGTCTTGAGAACATGATTTTTGGGAAACTCTTTCTTAAGGAATTTGACTGTTTTTGAGTATCTAGATCCAGCTTGCAGATTCACTCAGAAAAAGTTTTGGGTGTACATATTTACTTAAGTGCATTAGTCATCTTCAATTCCTTTTCATGTAAATGGTTCTTTCATCTTATAAACTTGCCTTTATTGGCAGGGGACTTTCTGTAGTGCATTGTGGCGTGGGACCCAGGTTGCAGTAAAAAAGCTTGGGGAGGATGTGATTACCGATGAGGAAAAAGTGTGAGTTGCTCATAAACCTTGTGCAAAGATTGTATTAGTTTTTCTGCAATATACTTTCATGATAATTAATATACTTGACTTTTCACAGGAAGGCTTTCAGGGATGAGCTTGCTCTGTTCCAGAAGATCCGGCATCCAAATGTAGTCCAGTTTCTGGGTGCTGTGACCCAGAGTAGTCCAATGATGATTGTGACAGAATATCTTCCCAAGGTTTTTTGTCCTATAATGGCGTGGAACATGGTTTCTTGAATATTGCTTGGGATATTTGTTTGATTAAGTTTAACACTAATATGATTGAAAATGTTCCTTTCTTTGGTCTTATTTCCTCATGTTGTGCAGGGAGATCTTCGTGATTTTTTGAATAGAAAAGGAGCTTTGAAACCATCAACAGCTGTGAAATTTGCACTTGATATTGCTAGGTATTTGACACTCGTGCGTTGATTTTATTTGTTCTTCTGTTTGCAACATTGTGTCCCAAAATCAGCTGTCTTTTTTCTGAGGGGGGTCAATTTTATTTGTCTTATTTCATTTTGATTGATACTTGCAAGTTATTATTATTAGTTATATAGAGAAAAGAGGCGCACAAACTTATTTATCTTGATTTCCTTCTCCTATATGTTTGCATGAGAACTGAGATTGGGTGAAAGTATCTAATTTTGAATTAGGGGAATGCAATGAAGCACAAAATATATGCATAGCATGAATGTTTGAATTGTAAAGAAACATGGGGATAAAATATAATTGTGCCAATTTTTATTTTTATTTTTATTTTTATATTGCTACATAAGGGGGTGAACCGGAGTAGTGGTAAAAACTGTTCCTTCATGACTGAAAGGTCATGGGTTCGAATCCAGGAAACAGTCTCTTTGCAATTATGTAAGGGTAAGGCTGCGTACAAAGATTTCCTCCACCCCACACTCGCTAGTCGGGTTTAACGGGGAGTGGTTTTTTTTTTATTGCTACATCTTATGAGGGTGAGCTTGAAACATTGGTAAAATGCTCCTTTGTGAATCTAGGAAACAATCTCTTTGCAAAAATGCAAGGGTAAGACTATGCATAAGAATTTCTTCACCCCTATTTTGCAAGTCAAGACTTCATTGTTTTATTTTTTGGCTACATCTTTCAGTCTATGATACCATTTGTTAAGGTTGGCAAACAAATGGGTTCAGTTGGCTTTGAGTTGGATTATAATGGATGGGATCGTGTTGTTAGCTACGTGTTTATTGATTAGCCACCCGTTTAAAATAGTAATCACCTGTAACTCTTCCTACGAAAAAATAAAAATAAAAATCTTTAGATAGCTGGTTCCAGGCCTTGATAAAGAGGCAGGTTGTGTTTGGCAATTGCCAACTAACGGAAAGCTTTTCGAAGCTTGTATGACATGGTTAAAGATACATCTTCCCCATGGTTGGATATGGCTTGAATCTTGATTCTTGTATAATGATTACGTTTGACCCATTTGTTAGGATGAGACTCAAATTGCCTATGTATATATCATCTAAAGGAGTGAACCTTGGTATACAGAACAAAATTGGCTCCAGTTCTGTCTTGACATTATTCTATCGAAATTTGGAGATCATAGAGCAGGAAAAGGTCTCATGATTAGAAGATGGACATATTGGGTGCTGATAATGAGGTGGTCTGTTCTGGATCCAATGTGGGTCGAACTCAGTTTTGGAAGTGGTTGTTCAGGTGCCGTTGCTTGCTTTGCTAATGGTTATTTACATCACATGATTCTAGTAGAGTGGGGTAAGCTCTGCTTTCAGCTGATCACTTGATGGGATATGAGATCCTCTTCAAGTTTGCTTACATTCATCCCTCCCTATCTCGGCATAGAGAACCGTCATCCCACAAGTTTGACTAAGATTGAGTGGAAAATGGTGGGATTGTGATAAAGGAGAGAAAATGTGTTTTTGGAGTGTAGAAAGAGCTTCAGATTTCCTGCCCTAGTGGCTAGTGTTGCCTATATAGGAGAGATAAAGAAAGCGTTTGAGAAACTGGAAATTGGTAGAAACTGAAGAAAAGTGAATAAATATAAGAAGCTAAAGGTTTATAATGTAGTTAATTTTTTTTTGCATAGTTAAATAGGTAAATGGATCTCTAAGGGTTTATCCATTGAAACCCATGTTTAATTGGACTATGTAATGATCAAATCCGTTTGTGCTGTAACTTAAGTGGGTGCATATGGATGGGACCAACTTATAGAGTTGGATATAGGTGGCTAAATGGATTTGGCTCACAATTGGCAGCCCTACTTTCTATATGACCACAGAGAAACAGGTTATTAGTTTGATGAACAGGTATTCAATACAATTTTGAAAGATGCCTTCTTCGTACATAATTATTCAACAGTTTTCCTGTCTGAATTTTTGTAATTGCATGCCATGCATGGAACTTTGTTTTAGGAGTGTCATGGCTTTAGCATTTCTCATGGATTCATACTAGCTGGAGAAAAATCTATTTTACCTATTAAACACAGTTTCTCAAAATTCATTTAATGTGAATCATGTTTAGAGGAGACATTTATTGGGTTCTGATTAATGGTTAATGATGTCTCTGCTCCTTTTATATTTGTCTTTAGGGATACTAAACGTGTTCCTGAATGCCATTTTTTTATTTGACATTATGCAGGGGAGTGGGTTATTTGCATGAGAATAAGCCATCACCCATTATTCACCGTGATCTTGAGCCTTCGTAAGTTTCTTTGATCAATTATTTTTTTCCTCTTTTCTTTTATGTGAAGTCCATGTCTAGTTTAATAGTCTGATACAGTATACACTTTTTATCAATGTTGCTTGTGAGTAAGCTAACAGTAATATATTGCGGGATGATTCCGGGCACCTAAAAGTTGCAGACTTTGGGGTTAGCAAGTTGCTGGCAGTTAAAGAAGTTAGGCCTCTAACTTGCCAAGAAACTTCTTGTAGGTGCTGCTTTTCTTCAGAACTGTCATTAATGCACACTTGAAATATCCAAATATCTGAAATACTATATTATCTTTATTCATAAAAAATAGGAAAATATTTTAATATTTTTCATGCGGTGAACTTTGACATGCTGCTTCATGGACTAATTTTCTGAAACTGGGAAATTTGTTTTATTTTGTTCATAGGCCGCTATATAGCTCCAGAGGTTTTCAAACAAGAAGAATATGACACTAAAGTGGATGTATTCTCATTTGCACTAATTCTGCAAGAGGTAACAGATACTTTCGTAGGAGTGGTTTCCAAGTTTCATTATATTTCATGATTTGATCTCTTATTTAATAATGATAAGGAGTTTATTATTAATATAAATAGGGGTTAGTGTTTCGTATTTTGTATCACATCCTTCACATCAATACCACTATAATTTTATCATTATGAATATTCAACCCTCTCTCTTTCTCCTTCCCTACCTAAAGCTGTATAATTTCAACATCGTATCAGATCGGTGTTATCTTTGCTAAAATTTGGAACTCTACAATAACATTGTTATCTCCATAATTCTTTTATTCCTATTGGTAGTGAGCAAATTCTGGCCTCTTAAACCAAGACCAGCATCACTTTCTATATCCTCTTTCTCTCTTTTTCACAACTCTGGGTGTCAGATCTACCCTCATCCACTCATCTTTTTACCTTGCTGATGTTGCCACAGCTTTGACGTGTCTAGATCAGCCAGGTCCTAAAATTGCGTCGCCATTGGAGCTCCAACCTGCCATGATGTGCTGTTCACTACATCTGAAGAGTTTACCTCTTTGCGGGTGTGAAAGTGCGTGAAGTCCTCTTTTCAACTGTTATCTTGTCTTGATAGGACCAACCCGACGACATCCAGCCTCTGCTGTCTTGGTTTGTGACCCTCCAAAGGGTATTTGGCTTCATTTTGGGTCTCATCATTTCCTTGCTTGTCCTGCCCGCTCTACTGCTGTATTTTCGGGTCTGATCTAGTTTCTTCTTGGCCTTTTTTTGGGGTGTTTGCTTGTTATTCCAGTGTCTTTAGGTTATTGTTAATTCTTCATCTCTTTTCTCTTCCCTTTTTGGTATTATTTTTGCTCTTCCTATGCAAAACATGGCACTAGTGGATAGTGAGAATGATAAGGTAACATCCCTTTCTGAAAATGATCATTTTAGCAGTCGATCATACCATTGGTGACTTCTCTTGCTGATGACATTTTGGTCACTAACGAAGATCATACATCTAGTGACTTCGCGTAATGCTGATGATCATTTCGAAAATTCATCAACAGTCATACCAGTGGTGGCTTTTATTCATGTCAATGATCTTTCCAATGGTGACTTATAATTGCTGCAATTCACACAAGCCCGGGATTTAATTTATTTGGTTTCCTAGTTTTGTGGTTTGAAGCGTCCCAATGCTGTTCTTGATAAATTTTGAGAAGTTTTAGCACAATGTGTAATTACTTGCTAAGAAATTTTTGTTGAAGATTATTCCATCAACTCTTCTTCCATGCAACATTCCAACCATTTTTTGGAGAAGTTTTAGTTCTTGTGTATAATTTCTTGCTAAGAAAATTTTGGAGAAGTTTAAGTGTTACATAAACCAAGTTTTTTTAATTTTGATCCATTTTATTTTTTTGTGTCCATATGCTGTATGAAACTTTTCTTGACTCCAAGTTGACTTAACCTCAACAAGGTTCATAACGTTGGTAAACCAACTTCCTGCGTAGCATTTAAACTACGTTATTTTTCTTTGTAAATCAGCTATGCACAATTTCAAAATCTTTTTAATTTGGTGATTTAGAGGGCTAGCCTTAGAGCAGCGGCAAGATTGCTACTTGTGACCGGAAAGTCACGTGTTCGAGTCTAGGAAACAATCTCTTTGCAAAAATTTAAGGGTAAGACTATGTATAATTGACCTTCACCCTTACCCTCCCAAGTTGGGAAGCCTTGTACACCGGGGTTTAATTATCTTATTTCCTAGCAAATCCAATAATTTCAACTCTCTGACTGCATGCTATTTTGGTATGGAGTTTCTGGCTACATTTATTAGTGTTACGGAATAATCGTAGCTTTCCCGTGAATGGTAAGATTGATGGACGGTGTGTCTTGGGACGAAATGGAGAAAAGCTATAAGCATGGTGGAGGGTTAGATCCGTTATTATTCCTGTGTTCCATATGGTCCTTTTTTAGTCATTTTTCTCTTCATCTCCCTCTTTCTCTCTCTGTTTTTTTTTTCCTTCTTTTCTTTTATTTCTTTTCCCCTTTCCCATATTTTTCTCTTATTTATTTTTATTTTTTTATTTCTTACTTTCTCATTCTTTTTTGTCCTCCTATATATCTCTATCTTTAGTTTATTTTAATATACTTTCCCTTTTAATTATTTCCTGCTTTATATATATATATATATATATATATATATATATAGGGAGGGTTATATTTACAAACTTTTTGTTTACAAACTACGTTATGTACTCTCGGAAGTACACTAGGTTACACTATGTACTTCTGGGAGTACATAGTGTAATTTGCAAAAATTTGTAAAAAAAGTTTGTAAACGGATCCTTTGACACCGGTGTCAAACTTTGAAATTTGACACCAAATCCTAATCGTTAATTTCCGCCAATCAACGGTTATCATTTATTGGGAATTAATAATTAATTAATAAGTTTGATTGGCGGAAATGATAACCGTTGATTGGTGGAAATCAACGGTTAAGATTTGGTGTCAAATTTTAAAGTTTGAAATCGGTGTCAAAGGATCCTATTCCCATATATATATATATATATATATTTTTTTTTTTTTTTTTCAATCTCTTTGTACCTTTTATTTGGGTTCATCTACCACCAATCCCTACTAGTTTTGGAGAAACGTGGTGTTGATTTTGATGTCCCGTAAATCATAAGATCCTAACTTGCTATAGTCATTATTGATGCTTCTTATATGTTATGCTTCAGATGATTGAAGGCTGTCCTCCTTTTTCTGCAAAAAATGAAGATGAGGTTCCTAAGGTATATGCTGCAAAAGAGCGACCGCCTTTCCTAGCTCCTGCCAAGCGTTATTCCCATGGACTTCGAGAGTAAGTCTTGGATTTTTCTTGGGTGATATTTCCTGTCTTGTGATTTCCTTTTCTTGAGAATAGCTAACAGGATGTTAAACTATTTCCTCATCTTAACTTGTAACTTATAATCTTTTGCTAATAAATTTATTAATAAGGTACGAGTATTTTTTCCCATCTGATTTGAAAATTATTAAGTATGTTCATGTCTGTACAACTTTTCTCATTTTACAGCACAAGTCATGCTAACTTTTAAGTAAACGTGATCAGTAGGCCATAGCATGCATCACTCATACATTACTATTTTGTCTGTTTTGTACTATGTTTTGTACACCCTCTTGTATCAGCGTAAAATTACAAACTGAACTTGATGATTTAACATAATTTCTCTGCCGAATTTTACTTTTTCTCATTTAATAATGATTTGTTACATTATTTACATTTTGCTGATCTTTCAATGATATCTACGTACAGATTGATTGAAGAGTGCTGGAATGAGAATCCAGCAAAGAGGCCAACATTTAGGCAAATAATAACAAGACTGGAGTCCATCTACAATATAGTTGGTCAAAAAAGACGTTGGAAGGTTATCATCTCTCTCATATATCTCCCCCCTCCCCTGAACCAGACACTATTGCTTTCATATGCTTGTTCAAAAGTGTGTGAACTGGACTGAATGCTTATTGTCAGTTTATAAATGTCAGATTTTACTAATGGATATTTTATCAGTTGATCTCTGGATATATAACACAATTTCATACTTGACAAAAAATGGGTTACTTAAAATGTTGTCTGTATTCAAATATAGCAGTTGGCAATTTAAATTTTTTTCCAACATGAAGAAAAATGGCACCGTGTTTGGTTTATCTAAACAGATTTTGGTGATTACAGAACATGTAAAGGAATTGTAACATTGACACTGTTTTCCTCTTGCTCCTTGAAACATGTGCAGGTTAGACCATTGAGATGCTTCCAGAATCTGGAAGCTTTATTGAAGAGGGATCATTCAAATGGAAGCAGTAGGAGTGGTTCATCTCGCTCCACAGCAAGCCGTATATGAAGGAGAACATTGGTGTTGTCCTGTAACTTGAATATTGGCGTGAAGATAAAGATAGCAATCGGATTTGACTTGAGATGGAGCATTGCAACGTTTTCACGTGTGTATTCCCAGGTTCATGGTTGTGTTTTTGGCTTTCAAGATTCATTATACTCTCAACGATTTATTTCCGACCAAATTATATCTGGCTATAGAATTGCATGTAACATAAGCACATGTTCTAGGAATTTGCTCCTTGTCATGTACATTGTGTATGTATTATGTAGCAAGACGATTTTTTTGGGTAAACACTATGCAATAAGACTTTTGAATAGATTTTTAGCCGAAGAACTTCAACAATCAAAGCGAAACTGGAAATTCGGCTCATGTATAACATTAATACTAAGCAATGTTTTCTGACATGGGGATATAAATTAATTTAAATATTTTTGTTAATAATTACTTACGAGAGTCACTATTAAAACTTAAAAGTACACTTAAATATTGAATTCAATAATTAGAAAATGAGATTAGTGTTTATCTTTTTAAAAGACATAAAGTTGTCTTATTTTAAGATAAAAAAAGATATAGATAACAAAAATTATGAGAGGAGAAAGTGAGATTTTTTTAAATTTAAATTTTAAATAAAAAACTTTACTTTTAACTAAAAAGATTATTTTTTAGAAGGATAAATATTTTTCTCGAAATAAGTGATTTTTTTTATTTTTTATTTTTATAAAAAAACTAAATAAGATAAGAATATAGAGGAGAGAGTTAAAATATTGTCCTTGCACATTGCACTCAAGCATTGAACTACCAAATAAGATTTAATTTTGATTCACGTTATCCTTCAAAGGGATTACTTCAGAATGATATAAATTTGTTTTCCTGTTGATATTTGTATCATTGTCAAGTAACCATTTATTAACTCAGAGGAAAGGCATATAAAATAATATAAATATGCGTGGCATCTAACCATTAATTAAGCAACGAGTATTGTGACAATAACGACGATCACAAAATCAAAGCATTCTTGTCTAACACAAGATCCACTTAAAATAAAAAGAAAGATTTGAAAATTTATTATAAATGAAAAAAAAAAAAAATACTTTGCTTTCTGCCCTTCAATCCTACATACGGCTTATCATGTTTTAAAAACTTCAATATGTTACTTACTTTGATTCACATAAATATCAAGATGATGACAAAGAACCCCAAAATTAAGGGAATGGCACGTTTAGGTACAGAAAGTCCTTTATTCAAGTTTTTTCTCTTAACAAAGTCTTGCTTCTAGTCCCCAATAAAAATATAAGTGGTTGAAGAAGACCACAGTTTCAGTATAAGATTGTGAATGGAGTCAGTCAGAAACAAATCTATTACCAAATATGGGGCTAACAAGAGTTAGCTCAAGTTCCCAAAGTATTTTATCTTCCATGGATCATAATCTGATTGAGAAGCCCCACTGTCCTTCTTGTGAGTTGTAACAGCGGATCCTCTTATCAATCATGGGAGAAATACAGTAAGAGCACATCTTCCTATATATTTTCCTGTGGAACTCCAAGTACCAAAGGGTATTTTCTTTTCTCTAGTGAAAGTGTAGATCCTCTCACATGCACTTAACAAATAAGTTGGCTTTATTTTGAAAAATATTATTAATAAATTTTCATAACTTTAAAATTACGATTATAAAAAATAATACAAACCCCGGTTAATGAGAACGAGGTGAGGGCAGTTTTTATACGCAACTTTACTGTTACGTAATTGTAAATTAGTTGTTTTTCAATAATTATTTCGCCGTCATCCTTAAAAAATAATAATAAAATAAAAAGTAAATTTCAAGCATATCCTTTCTTAAATTTTAGTTTTAAAAACTAATTTTTTATTATTATTTTACGAGTTAGTTTTATAAAACAACACTTTTTAAACCAATTTTGTTAATTGAACTAGAATTTGAAATGATGATAATTTGTCTTTGATTCTTGAAGACATTCTTATATTATTAACTAACATAAAAGGGTATGTTGTGAGATGGGAGGGGTGTGGTTCTACTAAAACCCGAGAGCGAAGCCAGGATTTTGCTACAGTTGCTAGAGCAAAGAGCATAAAGTGAATGCAAAATGACGAAATAAAAAAAGACAAATGACGAGATAGAAAAAGACAAAATGAAGAAGAAAGAAAGAAAATGAAACATGGAAGAGTGGAAGAAAAATAAAAAAGTTGCGGAGAAAGGAAGAGTAATTATTAATTAAAATTGGTAAGTGATAGTGACTTTTTTTTATATATTTTAATCGGTTCATCCCTTTATAATTATTTTAATTTGGGATAGGTTCCAAGATTAAGGCTTTAAATTTTTTTTTAAAATAATACTGAGAAAGATCAAACACCTATTTTCTCCCTCACCTGCTCAGTTCCTTGGTATCAACTCATTCACTACTCTTATTTGAAACAAAATAGATAATACTTGATGAAAGTAAAATTTAATTTTTTGAGTTTTTCACCATTTTTCAAGTTAACTTCTTTTAGGAATTTTTTTTCAAACTTTGATAATGGGTAAAGATCAGCTTTATTTAAGAAAAAATAAATCTTTTTATATAATTGGAGGGACCATGAATTAAAAACTACACAATAATATTAAAGTTTAAGGAAAAAACAAGTATCATGTTGTAGAACAATTTTCTTATCATGCTATAGAGAGAGATAATAAGTGTGGGGTTCATCATGTTTAAAAAAAAAAAAAAAATACAGAACAAATATCGATGTATGTGTAGAAAACTTTGAATTTGTGGTATAACATAACAAATGCAAAATCTTAAGTTTAAAAACGTGAGTGGAACCCCGCATCCACAGGTTTCCACTAAGAAGTAAGAACCATTTTTTACCTATGTTAGATTAATTGGTGGATTTACTCTATATCTTTTATTATAACATGACACTCTTGTGTTGGTAAGTAATATTAGAAAATTTTGATCCATTCCATTCCATCTTCAACACTGCTTCCATGGCAAAGTTTATTTCTTTTGAAGGACGGGGCGAAAGAATTGATAGCATTTATGGCTTTAATATTTTTTATGTTGCTGGAGATAAAATTTTTTGCAGCAACACATAGAAAGTCAAGATATGCACACAAATCTTAATGTAAATATAAATATGTTTGTTGCAAAATTTCTCTTCTACTGTCAATCTGTCATTGCAGAAGATACCAAACCTAACATTATAGCTAATTTTTGCATATCATTTTACTTGGAAGACTTTTTTATTTTTATTTTTAATATTAACTATTTCTCCTAGTAACCTGTACATTTCTCTTATTTTTAATGATTTTTATCCGTATGTCCCAAACGTTAATGCTTATATTTTATTTACTGGGGGACATTGAAGTGTAATTTTTGTACTCAATTCATGAAGAATCAATCATTCGTCTTTTTTTTTTTCTACCACTCATGAATTTTTTTATTATTCTTATTATGTATATATTTCCATACTTTTTAAGTATGAGATTAATTCTTACACAAAATATTAAGAACCAAAATTTGACTTCTTGATTAAAATTAATCTCATTAGATTTCAAATGACTTATCACTTAAAGTAAACCTTTGTGGCTTCTTCTCTCATGATCTTCTGATTTTGAGAAAATTAAACCCTATAATAATAATAATAAAAAAAGTAAGAATACAAAGTCAAATATACAATTGGATAGAAACGAATATAATTATTTAGTATGAGTACAATTATTATCTGATGATACTTGCTCCATTTTTCAATTAAACGATAGATTTAGTAACCGGTGGCATCACTGAATAGGAAATATTTGCAGGACATTTAGCAGCATACATGTTTTCCCCTAACGGAACAAGACCAAGGAATTACTCTATTAAGCAAATTTAAGAAGCTTTAGGGCACTTTCAAATCAAAATATTAATTGGTAGCTGAAAATGGTTTAAAGTCTAAACTTAAAGAAGCCAATCCAAATGGCAGGTATGCTTACCTATTCGTGAAGAGATAACAAATTTTCCAATCTGATATATCACTGAGTGTGGAAGCAACGTTTCCCCATTTGGACAGTTTCAAATCTGCAAGCAAATTTGTTGCCTTTACCTTTTTCTTGTTTGAGCACAGACCGTGTGCCGTAAGGCAAAGGTCTCAAAATACAAAAGACATATAGAGCCTGTGAATGCTAAACTATATTATATAGCACAAACTAGTTGTCCAACTTTAGCATAATGAAGAATCTAATAACATGAATTTTCCAATTAGTGGGGAACCATATGAACCATAGAGTCCAACCCAACCATATTATTTTGAGAAAGCTTTGCACGTAATGGACATGTAAGCTTCACTTCAACTAAAGTGTTTCATCTTCTAATTTCACGACAGTTAATTATTGCTTTATAGTATAGTATTCGTACGGAACATTTAAGGTCTGCTTGCTTCAATTGAAGATATATGGGGCAAAATACAATGTTGCTGAGCATGGAAAACTCTTAAATAATATAACTGAGTTGCTTTGTAATCATATATTTGTTGTACTTACTCCTGCAAATTGTGGTTGAAATCTTGCTCTTGAATCACATTTTCAGTATCTGTTGTGTGTAAATTTTAGTTCCTTGGTCAAATATAAATTCGGTTTTCCTCTTACTTTGTTATCAATCTAAAGATAATTTTATAAAATGACATTGGGGTCAAAATTAAGACCTATATGAAGTTGAGTGTTTTGTTTATATACAGGCATTAAAACCTCACATAAAGTACTTGTTTATCTTTTAATAATGTTTAAAATTTTACCTACTTAATGATCAGAGTTTATATTATATCTTATTAAGCCGATAACAGAGTTACGGATTTCAATTATTTTACGATCGGTCATAACATATAAACGCTGATAATTAAGTACTTAATTAAAATTTCAAAATATTACTAAAGTGACTTTATAAACTTAAAAAATTAATAAAAAGATGAAAATATAATAGAAATTCAATGCTTGAATCACATCAAAATGGTACATATATATTAACACTCATAATTGACCAATTATTTCTTCAACTGATGCCTTCGTTCCTTATATCACTAAATTTAATATCATTGTTTACCAAAATAATAATAATTTAATATCATTTATGTTAAAAAAAATTAATGTCAATTCACTTAGCTTTTTTCCCCTTTTATCAAGCAATCAAAATGTAAAAAGGCCATCGTTGGTTCAGACCTACTCACCTAATAATTGAATCAAATTCCAGTTGTCAGGCTCATTAAAGTTCTAACAATGGCATTTCTAGGCAACTTTGATGAGTCACTCGGTAATTTGAATTTTATTCTTTTACTCTTTTCTGATTTATTCTGGATG